CCCCCCCCCCCCCCCCCCTCCCTCCCTGCCTCCCGAAAGGGAGAAAAGGCTCTAATATCACAGCCAGTCATTACTTTATTCATATCTTACCTTTCTGTTTTCTGTATGTGTCAAAAGTTGTGAAATTCTTTGCTTCTGCAGTTCGAACCAGCTCCAAGGAGGGGTGAGCCAGATGTTACTCGAAGAACTCCCGATTACTTCTTGTGATGCGGCTATTGTCAGATGAAAATTTCTAGCAGCAGCTGTTTCCTAATGTACGTTTTGGCTGTTGTTACGTTGGAGAATTTCAGTTTGGGGGGGGGGGAGGGAAGCATGTAAATTTCGGCTGGTTGCTTCAGGCGGGAGGAGTGCATCCTTGAAAATCTCAAAGTTTTTGCTGATGGAGGCTATAGGGCTGGCGACTCATTAACTGCATATGTAACATCTCCACAGAACAATGTTGTGTTGCATCTGTTTCTTTCTTTAGTAATGTGTTTCATGTAATTTTCTTTTCCTCTGCTTTTCTGTTAACTATTTTGTAGGATGCTTGTTATAGTTTTCTTTTTGGGGGTTTACAGATGGACCATCAGTTTAATTTCCTTCAATGAGTGCCTTCATTATTCTTTCCCATGATTTCCTCTTTTGCTGTGCACCTTTCTTCCAATGCCTTTTAGAATTCTTTCTTCTTCAGCTACTTTGTCTAATCTTTAGTATCTATAAAATGTAAACAGCCTGGCCTATTTTCAATGAGCAAACAATCAGGCCCCATTAGAAGCAGAGTATACGTTGAGTGTCTCCCATGCAGAGACTGCAATCTTCTATGCCAGAGTCGGGACGAGTTTATGTTTACCCTAGACTTTGAAATGATAATTCAGCTGGCTGCAATTTCATATATTCTGTGTTATGCAAAAAAAACTTTGTATTAAGAGTCTATCCTAGATTTTGAATGCAAGCCAAGCTTGTGTAAGCAACCAATAATGGGAGAAATTTTGGATCTTTTTAGAATTTCAACTTAAATTTCCTCATAAACCCTTGGGAGAAATGCTTTGTAATCTGTTTGGATGCGGCAACGCATGCCTAAGTGCCTAAGTTGCTGGATGTGCAGTCAGTGAAAGAGTAGACTGGGTGCCGATATAGCTTTGGTGTAAGCAAGAGGCAGTGTGAGAAGTTTCTTCGACCTCCCTACGTAAGCTCGCTTTGTGAAGTTGTTGTAATCGTTTTCTTCTATTGCTTCCAATATTTTTCGGTACAGCATCAAGGACGACCATACCGGCCAACGGCTGGGCTTGTCTAGCTGAGAGGCTCCCTTTTCTGCCTGTTTGAAATAAAACCTCGCCCTTTTGATCTGTTCTTTCATGAATTCTCTCCACTTATCAGTCACTCTCATCGACAATATATCGTTGTCGCATAACCCGAACTGTGCAAGCTCATCTTGAGGAAGATATACTCTCCCTCTCAAAGCACTGAAACAAGTTCAAACCGCAATATTTAGTTGCATGAACAATAGAAGTAATAGATAGAGAAAGAAAAAGAATAGCTTACTCCTCTCCCACATCTCTTAGAATATTGGTAAGTTGATTTCCAATTCCCAAGTGGAGGGAAGCCGTGTAAATAGTTTGAGAAGAAAGCGAAGAATCGGGTGCAATTCCCATAACAGGCACACTCATTAGGCCCACAGTTCCAGCCACGTAGTAACAATACAAATACAGCTCTTCAAAAGTGTCATATCGACACTTTCTAGTGTCCATTCTCATGCCCTCAATCATGTCTTTGAAAGGCTGCTTTCAGAAAACAAAACAAACACGCACAACAAGTATGAGCCCAAGCCAGCAAGACACATAAAAAACAGGAAAGCTTCTCTCAGCTCACTGCACCTTCATGTCTAAGGGAAATTTGGACACCGTGTGACTCAAAGCAGCGTCCAGCACGTCATAAGGGCACCCTTCAAATATGTCTTGCAAACGTTCTTCCCATCGGTCAAGAACTTCTGGGTTCATGTATGCAGCATTGGGGCCGTCCACAAGTTCATCCGTTCTCCTACACCAAACTGCACCAACAAAAACTCAAAACTTACTCCTCACTTTCGTGGGCTTTCCGAAATGGGTTCGCTTCAAAAATGTGATTTGTTTTCCCCTTACCATATATTGCCCAAATTGCTCTCTGCCTCTCCTTCGTCATCAGTAAAGTTCCCAAGTAGAAGGTCTGGGCATATTCTGCGCAGATTTTCCTGCAACTCTCGTAAGCTTCTTCCAGAAATGAAGGATGTAACTGCAGCGTGTTACACGGTTGGGAAGAATGGTTGGCCCGAGATTGCCTCTCAACGATCTCATCGACGTGCAAATCGGCCAAAGGAATGCCTTGTTTGGACAAAGTAGGAAACTTCAATGTCTGGGGGCTAGTGGGGGCTGCAATTACCCCACCTCTGCTCATTGTAACTCTAACTCTGGATCGCTTCCCTTCGCATTCTCCAATGACTATACGAGGGTTTGGCGTAAGGGAAATAGAAGAAGTCATAGTACAAATTATTTGAGAAAAAAGATTGGGTTCAAAAGGGTTAATAAGAGTGTAGAATTACTTAGATAGGCGAGGGAGGTATATTCCAATGGGGGAGGTCAATGGCATAAACAGAGTATGATTACAATTGGGAATTTGGGGTTCTGCTCTTTTCTTCACTAAAGTTGGTAAGGATCGGACAAAGAGAGAGCCTTGGATCGGAGGAAAACAACAACAATTTTGTCTTCTTCTTGGGATTTCATTTTAGAATCTTGAGCCTTCTTGATACGCTTCGGAAACTCAGCACTCCGAACCCGGGTTCGACTCCCGGCAAACGCAATTTTTACATTGATACATAATTTAAATGTTAGAAAACCTTTAATCCCACCTCTCTTCTACCAATTACCCTCCTTTACATTTCCTCCACGTAACAATGGATATTGGGCCTACTACTACTAAAGCCCACTAGCTTTTGGGGTCCAGATCCAAAATTTTTGGGTAAGCATGAGAGAGAGAGAGAAGTAAGAGAAAAGTCATCATAAAATATTAGTGGTTCGGGGTGGGGGGCAGGGGGGGTTTCCGAGATTAAAGTTTTCAAATAAAAAAATACTTTAAAAAAGGAGACATCCCATCATTGACAGATTCATAATGCAAAAGTGAGCATTTGAATTCCTTGTTGTTTTAATAAATAAAGGCTCTGATTAAAGAAAGTATATCTTTAGAAGAAAAAGAGAGGTGCGGAAGATGTTACTTCATCGGGAAGTAAGAGCCATTTGTTTTGGAAATTAGAAAAGAACGTGACACGTGTCTTTAACCAGGAAATTATATTTATACCAGAAAGGCCCGCAATCTACAATTTAATTATGTAAGGGGTTTGAACCCTGGATTCATTTCTAATAAGGCTTCTCCAACTGGGCCCACTTCTCGCCCTAAACCCTAAACCGCCCTTACATTACCACACTCGATCTCTTGCTTAAATAAATAAATACATGACCCACACGTGTCCAGAGGAAGGGACGGAGAGATTAATTAAGACATTTAAAATTAAAGGAGAGAAATACTTTTCCCCGTTATCTTCTCTTTTTTCTTGCTTTCCACACATCCCTTCTCTCTTTCCACGTAGCCATCCTTACTTTTTTTTTATTTATTATTATTATTATTATTATTTACAGGAAAAACAGCATGCTCTAAGTTGGCTAGTTAGTACAAATTATTTGAGAACAAAATATGAAACTCTCTCGGATCATAAATGCAATCCTACCCACAGCTCTAGCTATTAACTTAAACCATCCCGCCACGTGGCACACTCTTCTTCTTCTTCTTCTTCTGAGCTCCTATTGCCGTTTATCATAAAGACCCACAGACCCAAACCCATTCCCATCGCTGGGACGAAACCAATTCTATGGAGACCCCACAGAAAACAAAAGAAACTGTTTTTTGTGAAAGTGATCCATCGCTGACACTGACACGTCGAAAATTTGATAGAGATAGAGGCAGAGAGGCAGAGAGGCAGAGACAGAGAGAGGGAAAATAAAATAAAAATAAATAAAAGATTGATTGTCGGAGTGGTGGTGTGTATAAATGGGAGTGTAATCCAACGTAGTATTATCAAACTCTCTCTTTGTCTTGCAATGGAAACCTTCCACTTGATTCCCGGTCTCCCCGACGAACTCGGTCTCGACTGCATCACTCGTTTGCCTTACACCACTCACCGCCTCGCCTCCGCCGTCTGCCGCCGTTGGCGTCAACTCATCTCCAGCTCGCATTTCTATTACCACCGCCGAAACTCCGGCGCCACCCGTCTTCTCTCCTGCTTCGTTCAGACTCTTCCCCCAACCTATTCCACCACCGGATGGAAGCTCTGCACCTCCCTCGCTTATGGACTCACCCTTTTCGACCCACTCACTCAATCCTGGGAACGAATCCCTCCAATTCCCCACTACCCAGATGGCCTCCCTTTGTTCTGCCACATAGCCAGCACGGAAGGCAAATTGGTGCTCATGGGCGGCTGGGACCCAGAGACCTACGATCCCATTGTTGATGTTTTCGTTTACGATTTCACCAGATGTGGCTGGAGGAAGGGGAAAGATATGCCTTCTAACCGCTCCTTTTTTGCAATAGGGGCTTCCGATGGACGAATCTACGTCGCCGGTGGCCACGACGAGAGCAAGAACGCCTTGAAATCGGCCTGGGTTTACGATCTGAGAAGCGACGAGTGGACCGAGTTGCCCCAAATGAGTCAGGGGAGGGACGAGTGCGAAGGGCTGATGGCCGGCGGCGAGTTCTGGGTGATTAGCGGCTACGACACAGAGCGGCAGGGAATGTTCGACGCCAGCGCCGAAGTGTACGACCTCGATTCCGGCGAGTGGCGCGTTGTGGATCGGGCATGGGAGACGGGGAGGTGCCCGCGGGCATGCGTCGGAATGGACAAAGAGGGAAGACTGACGAACTGGTCGGAATGGGAGGCTGCGTTCCAAGTCGGAACCTGCGGGGTGGTGATCGGATCCCAAACTGTGGTGACGGGGTCGGAGTACCAAGGGGCGGCGCAGAATTTCTATGTGATGGAAAGGGAGGAAGGGGAAAATAGTAAAATGACCAAAATTAATGTTCCAGAAGAGTACAGTGGGTACGTTCAATCGGGATGCTGCGCAGAGGTGTGATTTGTGGAAAATATCCAATGTGGGGGGTATTATTGTAATTTTCCCTTAAGTTTGACAGCCACCGACTATGTACATGAAAAATTCCAAACAGCTACCGAGTGGCTGGCATTTGCAGTAATATGGTCTCATCCACATGGTCGCATATGCGCTCCATTTCCACCCAGACTTCCCATTCACTCTATCCTCAGCTGCTGCAATTAAGATAACATACTGTGTCGGTTTCAACGCTGTTCCAGCCGCCATGAGCTCACGCCAAACCCCTCTGCAGGGTCTGATGTTTGGGCCATGTTCAATTTCACAGCTTCATCTACGTTTATTTACACTCTTTACACTCCATCTTCACCCTCTGAACCATCCATGTTCATTTGCAGTAGTTTTCAAGGAGTGGCTTTTGATCAGCCAGGCTTCTTAAGAATTTATGATATCAAACTGAGAAGAGAGGAGCTGACCAATGAAGATATCAGTTTTTTTGTATTCAAATCTCAACTTAGTCATAAATACAACACTTGGGTGACCACCAAACTTGATAGCTATAGAATCCTTCCGAATCATCACAAGAGAATACTATATTACATACGCATATGACAGACACCTAAATTCCAAAGGGGCTACTACAAATCGTTCATAATATCCACAGTTGTAGTATTCCATTCCATGTCCCCGTCTCTACATTTGCTTTCCACTGTTCTTCATAACTCCTTGCCAAAATCATATCCATCACTGTTGGTTGTTTGAGGCTCCATTCACTTTGCAAAACGTAGCGTCCACTCAGCAGCTATCTCGTCGTGTTTAGCTCTGTCGGCCAAGTACAAGTGAGCAACACCAGGTGCATTTGGATCATCTGCAACATTAGTAGAATCCAAAATGAACCGGGACTTTGAACTTGCCATCAATTAGTTGAATAGAACAACAGTTAGCACACTGCCATTGCTTCCTCAATCTCTTCTCTTCCTTGTCATTTTATTTAAATCGAAAACAGACCAACCATTTCTGAGATCATCGAACCTCTCTAAATACTTTTTTCACAACATATTTTTGTAACAGAGCACATATTGTCCTCTTTGGACTTCTCCTCAAGGTTTTTAAAACGCATCTACTAACGATAGTTTTTCACACTCTTATAAAGAAATACTTCGTTCCCCCCTCCAACCGATGTGAGACCTCACAATATTCATCCCACCGCCAATCATCGTAACTAGAAACTCTTATACTGATATAAACAAACCATCTCCCTCCATAGTCTGCATACATTCATGGAGAATAGCTCCCATTCCCAGTAAATTCCTTTCAACAACCACAGAGTCCCTCTCTGTGAAAACCGAACCTAACCGACCATATATCTGGTCTATCCCTTCGATTACACTCCCGGTTCTTAAAGACACAAAGGACAATGCATTCCAAATGAAAGAAAAGCAGTTGAAATAGAAAGGCATATGAAGTAAACGAGAAGAAGCATAAAGTGACATAAACAATGAGTCCAGAAAGTGAGGGAACTCACAAGGGTTGGGGTTTGTAAAAATTGATTTCACTGCAATTAACACCTTTGCAATTGTTAACGCAGGACTCCAGCTATCCTTCAAAATGTCCAAACTTACGTTACCGGAGGAATCGACATTGCAGTGGTAGATTCGGGTTTTAAATACAACCTGCACACCTGATCCTTCTTAATAAATAAACAACTTGAAACAGTGTAGCATCGATCAAGAATGAGCATCAAATTGAAGGATGTGGGGGGAGAAGAGTACCTTTGGAGGATTGAATGGATAATCACTTGGAAAAATTATGTCCAGGAAAAATATGCCACCTTCATATGGTGTTCCTATAAACAACACAGACACAAGTCAAGATTACCAGAAATTTGTCCTGATTTATTGGAGATAGTGTTCATACACAGCCTTCATATGATCCAAAACAAATAAATTTAGTTTTTGGTAAAAGTTCTTCAAGCTAAACAGTGGGCATCTTCTTCCCTAATCACTTTCTTTAGAATTGTAAATAAAACATCCTTAGCAGTCAGGAAATGAAACCCCATCAGGGTTTTAGTGAGCATCTGTTCAGGAATTGAAACAAAGAAGTAGGAATCCCTAAAGGGTACCTACCAGGAGGGCCAAAGATGGTAGCGAACCAGTGGTAAAGATTGTCGCCCTTTGGCCCGGCGGAGCAATCGGAAGGTGGGTCCAAGTTAAACTCAGTCATTTCTCTTTGAATTCTCTTCCCTGAAGCAGAAACGGAGGTTGTGGACGCCCATGAAGTTGGAGGCGCCAAGGACGTCGACGAAGACGATCTCCCCCCACCAAACAGAGGCTGTTGCGGGCGGTGGTCGCGATTTCCCACCATTGGATTCAGATTTTGGGAACCAAACCTGACCATTTGATTATAAATTTCCCCAATTGCACGACTTACAATGAGTTTGATGGAGGGTGATTATACTTCCCAATTACCCCGCCTTAACTTTTAAATTTTAATATTATATTACATACAATTTGATTGCGCATTCAACTTTGTGTCCATAGATCAATAAATTTTAGAAACACTAAAAAATTTAACCTTTTTTTTTTTTTTTGCAATAACGGTAAGGAAAATTGCTGGATGGTCCAAGCCCAGTTCCAGCCTGACGACAAGCCCAGGGCAACAATTGGTTCCACCCAGATCAGAAGCCCAGTTCAGAGCCCTTTGCAACTTAACAGGGTCTGCACCATCTTTAGCCACACACAAAACAACAGAAGAAGTAGCAGTGACAGTGCTGGATATTGAACTCAAACATAGGGAGCAAAATAATGATCATATTCAAACAAGTGGAATATCGTTGACTTTTCTGCCAAGTCAACCCAGTTACGTGCCTATTGGGCCATTAATTCCTGTGGCCCATATCATTCACGGAAGTGGGTATTTGACCCCCGATTCAACCGGCCCAATAAGCATAATTGTTTCTGGTTGGGAATGGTCAAAAAGAAGTCCAGAAGAAGGAGGGCACAACTCACAAGGATGTGAATGGTCAAAAAGTCAATGCAACTGTCGCTGATTTATTTAATAAAGCATAATATTAAAATAAAAATAGAAGCGTTGTGACATATTAAATTTATGGTATGTACTGAAATTGGTTTCTTATCATTTCAATTAAATAAATAATTAATTAATTAAAACGATATGAAGAGGAGGAGTCAAATCTTTGTTGGTGGGGAAATATAGAGGAAACTTCGAATGCTTTAAAGTTTCACAATCAAATAAATTTTTATAAAATTTTCCTGCAAAAAGTGAGAGAATAATAATAAATAATTCTGAAATGCGTATATAAACCCCACCAAAATCCTCTTCCTCCACTGCTTCTTCTCTAATTTGCGATTCAAACTTCCACTAAACAGGAACCAACAATTCCGAAGCCGGAGCTCATATCCATATCCATCCTCAACTTTCAGTTCTTCATCGTTTTCGTTTTCAAGGTCACCACTGAACATTACTGTTTTCCTCTTCAATTCGTTTCTGTTCTTCCATTTGATTGTGTTCGTGGAATGGATCTTCCCTAGATGTTTCTTTAGCGAAAATGGTAATCATCTCCGTGGTTTTTAATATATGTTGATTTTCGAATCGCTGTTTCGTTGAAGTGGGATTTTGGGCTGCCTTCTTGACGGCTTCACAGGGCCGCCGCCGGCTTAAAGCAGTTTAAAAAAAGAGAAGAAAAAAACAGAGAGAGACGGATAGAGATATTATAATGCTATTATTTGGTTAGGCACATCTATAGACATAGTGTTATAGGCATTGAATCCATTGTATCCAGATCTCTGTTTTTTTTTTAATGTGATCAATTGGAGCCACTTTCTTCGAACCGGAGAATTTGCCACTTTCATTACCTATTCTTTATTATGAATGGAGATCACTTTTGAACTTGCTAATGCTAGTCTCATTTCTTTTATTAGATTTCCGTAGCATGGCCTGTAGACTATAGATAGACATGCCTTCTGATACAGCATCTGTTCTTACAGGATATTAAAGGATCTTATTATGCCATATGGGTATATCTGGTTCCTGTCCATTTGCTGAGTTTATCGATTTGGGGAACAGTTTACAATCTACTCTCATAAAATCCTCAAGTTTTGGAGATGAAGAAAAAACTCCAATCAGGTCTGTCAGTTTTACAAGCAGAGATTCAGAACCAAAAGTGTTGAAATCAGTAAGTTCTCGAAATGTATCGTTGGAAGCATCTATTAACTTCAACGGAAGAGATTTAGAGAATCTGCCTTCAACGGAGGCTTCTTCATTAGAAACAGGAAATGACATAGGCGTTGCATCCATCAACCCGAAGAGTGTAGAGTTTGATAATCAATCACTAAGTTTAGATAATGATATGGAAAGAATCAAAATGTTACCAGCTTTGGATCCAACCAATCCCAAGCATGTTGCTGCTCTAAAATTGCAGAAAGTGTATAAAAGCTTCCGCACTAGAAGAAAGCTTGCAGACTGTGCTGTTCTGGTTGAGCAAAGCTGGTAACTTCTCCTCTTTTTCTAAGAACTCATAATCATGCGGCACTTTTTGCTTAGGTTATTTTGTCTTACTTCCATTATTTATTAAACTGGCAATGTTTGTAGGTGGAAACTCTTAGACTTTGCTGAACTGAAGCGAAGTTCTGTATCATTCTTTGACATGGAAAAACGTGAGTCTGCCATATCACGCTGGTCAAGAGCAAGAACTAGAGCAGCTAAGGTGAATTTACAGAAATTTCTGAGAAAAAAACGTGTGAACAATACTTCACCGGATTTTTGTTTCAGAAATCTGATCAGTTTTTTGCAATTATAGGTTGGAAAAGGGTTATCCAAGAATGCTAAAGCTAGAAAGCTTTCTTTGCAGCATTGGCTTGAGGCGGTAAGTAAATTTTCTTGTAACCGAGTCTTTAACTTCATTTTGTAGTGATGTAATGATTAGTTATTTATGTATACAGATTGATCCGCGACATCGCTATGGCCACAACTTACACTTTTATTACATGAAATGGCTTCATAGTCAGAGTAAAGAACCCTTCTTCTACTGGTGAAATTTCCTTACTGCAACAATATGTTTTTCACTATTTTTCCTTCTTCCTTTACTGAATTTGGAAGCACCATATTTTGACCTTGACCAGGTTGGATATAGGAGAAGGGAAGGAAGTAAATGTGGTCGAAAAATGCCCGCGATGGAAACTCCAACAGCAGTGCATCAAGTATTTGGGTCCTGTAAGCAAACACTTCTTGGTTTCTCATCGAATCTTCCTTCTCTTCCTTATTCTTAACTCTACCCCATTGAACTTAATTTGTTTCTGCTTTAATCTTAGATGGAAAGGCTTGCATATGAAGTAATTGTGGAAGATGGGAAACTCGTATTCAAACAATCAGGGAAACTCGTCCACACAGCTGAAGAAGCCAGAAATACAAAATGGATTTTTGTCCTAAGCACGTCAAAGACTATGTATGTTGGAAAGAAGAAG